CGTGGAAATCGAACCCCGAATCGGAGTCGGAATCGGAACCCGTGAAATCCTCTTCTTCTTCTTCTTCTTCTTCTTCGACTCTCTGTTCTACTTTCCTCTGCTTCTCTGTAATTTCATCTTCAACAGGTTTGGATTCTGAAATTTTGCCCGAAAATTCTTCTTTCCCATTTGCAGAGCACTCTGTAATTTCTTCCTCTGAAACTTTCCCGGGAAATTCTTCATTTCCGTTTGCAGAGGACTGTGTAATTTCTTCTTCTGAAACTTTCCCGGAAAATCCTTCTTCTCCTCCGTACACAGAGCTCTCTGTAATTTCTTCACCGATGGATTCAGATTCCGGAATTTTCCCGGGAAATTCTTCGACTGGGAAATCCCCAGTTCCCGGAATCTGATTACTCGAACAGGAATTCAGAACCTCCACCTTAAAGCTCGGAATCACGAAAAAACTGGTGCTCTTCTCCGGCAAGAACTCGTATCTGTTGCTCAACGAATTAAAGCCCTCGGAACCAAAATCTTCTCGATTGGTTTTGCTGAATTCTTCATACGATCGGAACTTGAAGCTGAAAACGAAGTCGTTTGATTCCTCTTCATCGGAAATCGGAGGCCTTCCACCGGCGGGCTCCTCCTCCTCCTCCTCCTCCTCCGGCAGCCGTGAATCACCGGAATTCTCCATTTCCATGTCCAATTTTTTGCCACCATCAAGAGCTCTGGAAGGAACAGAAAACCCCATGATCAAAAATCAAAGAGAAGAACAGAACAAATCACAGAAGGGAAGGAAAAGAAACCCCAATAAGAAGTACCTGAAAAAGAAGGTGAAAAGGGAGAGAAAGAGGGAGGAGAGAGAAACCCAGAGAGAGAATTGATTTAGAGGAGACCCCATAACCAGAACCACTGAAAACAACAACTGGATTGGAGAAGCCATCAAAGGGAATCCATGGAAGAGAGAAGAAGGAGAAGAATATGGTGATGGAAGGTGAAATTGGACCTAACAGAGGAGATTTTGGGAGAGAAAAAGAGGGAGGAAAACAACATTTGAGCGACTCTGTAGTGGGATTTCGAGGTCGGAGGAATTTTGGGTTGCTTTAGAGGCAGGGAATTCTGAGAATTTCGTTATGCTGATTTGGGTTTTTTTGTTTCGAAATCCGATATGGTTTGATGAGGGCTTTGTTTTACCTGCCGTTGTTCATCCCACATCGAATGTTGTAAAAGTCTGGTTTGAGAGAGACAGATTCAGACTTGAGAAGTACGGCGTAGGGTTCAAAGTTCTGACGGAAAACACATACCAGGCTTCAACTTCCTATGCTTTTTTTAATTTATTTTCATTGGGAAATTAAATTACAATTATGTTATTTCTTTAAATACTATTTCTACTTCCCATGTTTCATTTTTATATTTTTATCTTATTAACTTAAAAGTAAATGGACTAATATATATATATAATACAATAATATGTTAGGGTTTGGACTTCAATGTATGACTTTTTGTTAGAGATAATGAATTAAATTTTTAGTTATCAAAAGAATATTTAGACTCTAATTTTTTAATAATTTTTCTTTTTAGTTCAAAAGTTATGGGATAAAGTACCACATGAATTTGGTCGGGCGATAATTGACACGTGTCAAAAATAATTATGCTGTAGGTGTCTGAAGCTAAATTTAGATTAGCTACTTCTTTTTAAGGGTTAAAAATACTTTGTATCTTGAACTTTTCATCCTTTATATTTTTTAAAAATTATACATTTTTAATTCTTTAAAAAGTATAGCATAAATTTGACTTTTCTCGATGTGTTTTACCTATTGTTTTTAAGTTATAAGTTAAAAATTATGAAAGGATGATTGAACAATCAACTTTTGAGATGTTAATAGATGTATTGTCTATGAAGAGGTTAGGATTGAATTTGATTTTGACCTTGGTTTGAACTCTACTCTTTTGATTAACTTTTTAATTTTTTATTATATTTGAAAATACATATTTATTTTAGGCTAGTATATGTTCTAATCACATGTTTGTGTGTTGTTTCCGAATTAATCCCTATTTAAAAAGTTTAATTTTTGTATTTTAACATTTTTTTTAATTTAGCCTCCCATAGATAAAATATATGTTTTTCTGATATATGTCAATTACCGTTGAGTTATATTCGTTTTGGCGATATTAAAATAGATGTTAAAATTGATTAATCATGAATTTCTATGTCGAAAATTGAGAAGAGAAAAAATGTTATTTAAAAGAAAATTTTCTGATTTTTTTTCTCAAAATTTTTAAGCAATCCAAAAGAATTTCAAGTTTAATTTACTCTCAAAACCAAAATTTTGTAGATAGCAGCTTCTGAAATCAGCTTAAAAAATTGCCACCTTCTCTAATAAAATTAAAGGAAATGTTCTCACTCATATATTTTTGTCATTAAATTAGAACGAAGTTTTAATTAATTCAATTTTGTATACAATTTTGTAGACTAAATCACCATTATAACCTACTTATTCATGTTTAAAGTTGAAATTAACTTAATATTAATTTACCAAAACGAGCATAGCTCAACGATAATTGAAATATATCTCCAATTAAGAGGTTGTGAGTTCGGATAAAAAAAAAACTCAATATTAATTTACTTTTTTTTTTACAAATTATTAATTTACTTCATAAAAGTATAATCTGTAGTAATTATACTATATATATATATATTTATTTATTTATATTTGTATATATAAATATAATCTCAAATTAACAACCTTCTTTGCAATACAAACTAAATCATTATAATAACTTTTTTAAAAAAATTCATTTTGTTCTTCCGTTTGGAACTTAAAACGTATAAGAAAAGATTTAATTGTAACAGATTGAAAATTATTTAAAATTTATAATTTCAATTTTTCCCTTTATAACTTCGTTTATATGTTTGGAATGGAAGTTTTGGAAAGAATATCAAACAACTTAGTATCATATTGTTTTGACTAATGGAAACTTGATGTCCAATTAGGTTAAATCAATAAATAGATTCTCTTTTAAGTTTAAAATTCTTCCATTGTGGGTTGAAATGTATTTTTTACTTAAAAAAGGCTTTGAAAGCGTGAAAAAAATATTTTAAAATTATCAAGAAGCAAATAAAGCTGTTTTATTTGTAGTATTTATGTATTTGTACTTAATCTCCCAACTTTCAAAATATCTATTTTAGTTTCAATATTTTAAAAAACAACCATTTTATTGTCAATTATTTAACAAATGAACACATAGTTTCAAATATGTATATTTAGCAATCAAACGTGTTAATATGGACGTCTATTGATACCACATAAATTACATTAGAGTAGATAGGTGTAGAGATTTTAAGTAACAGAATATTAACATAAAATAAAATAAGACTAAAATAAACTAGAACTAAAAGTCCTGGGATAAAA